GCAGAAGAAAAGAAACTTATGATTTCTGCCCCTTTTTCTTAAATAAATTCAATCAAAAAGAATCTTCAATTTACAACGTACAAAAAAAAAGAAAAAACAAAGGTTAATTCCTTCTTAAGTAACAATTCATGCCCTATACTTATACATATTTCTCCAACAGATTTACCTTTATCATTTTCTTAAATATACACACTGATCTGCCTTTTTAACATTATTCTGCAGATTATTCCATAATTTAATTCCCTGGAGTGAAGTACTCCRTTCCTTCAAACTAGTTCCAACTTTTCAACTTTTTAACTAGTTTGAGCTTTTTTCAGCTCATTTTACTCTTTTGCRATATTTTCAGCTTGTTACTGCTTACTTCAGCAAACACTCTCTGTTTCTTTTTGCTAATGTCAGCTATTTCAGCTACTTTGTTACCCATTTTAAGCTAGTTTCAGCCTTTTTAGCTATTCAGCAAAAATCTTTCAGYAGTAAGCATTCATACTGCATTTTCACAAGAACCACTAATTCTCTTTGTAATTTCATTTATTCACTGCAGTTCAACATTTGGAATATTGGTGTTCTTTGGTATCAAAAAAACAGCTAAGTCTCATTCAGCTGTTGTTTTAAGTTTTTTCCAAACTATTCTTCCAGCAGAATAGTTTCCTTTCTGTAAAACTCATCAGTTCTTTGCATGCTTCACTCTTTTGGCTTCCATTGAGGAATGAAGTTGTGAATTTTGAGTTGTGTCACAGAGGCGTTTCTAAACTGTCCTTCAAGCAGTTCTTTGAGGCAGAAACCTTAAAATGCTTTTACTGTCTTGAAGCTTTCGCCTGCTTAGTTGCAACACTGCCTAAAGCTGCCCCTGACTGTTTATCATTGGGACAATATTTATTTAGAAATATTTGCTTACCTTGACATTTGGATTCTTTAGGATGAATCCTCTGTACCAACCTGCAAAGACAGAACACTGTTAAAAAGTTCAACACTATGAGCATTGGAGACACTGCTGATTAGAAGCTAAAACAATTTCAAATTTCAAACAAGTCACTCCTAAACTGTTGGCGCCTTACTGCCAACTGAGTTACTTCTACTTCCAATAAATAAAATAGATTTAGAAAAATTTTTTTTAGCARAGGTAATAGAACAGCAGGAAAAAAATTCTCAACGATCTGTGCGACCACGTGTGAACTCACATCACAGAGAGGAAGGAAAACCTAGTTTCCATGTCTAAGACYCGGCTCAGCAGATGTGTAACAAAGGAAACATAAAGGTGATGAAAACAGTGGCTCATGTTCTCAAACCATTACACCCTCCAAAACGGACTTCAGCCAAATCAGTGAGCGCGAAGTGCTTCGGCAAATCCCATCACTGAYGGACACAATCTAATGAATTTACATTTATTTGTGCTGGTTTGAGCTGATGTGCTTTGCCAGAATGACTATTTCAGCTCATCCCATTGTTGCAGTGAGCCCCTCCAGATAAGAGCATTAGCCTAATAGCTTAAATGTAAATGTATTAGATTATTCTAATCACCGTTGGCTTTGACCAAGGCATCAGTGACTTAGACAGTATTTGCCGTCTCATCTGTTTCTGGGCGTACATGGTCAGACTGGTGTTGAGTAATGGGTCTTAACTGAGAAACATAGGCTCAGATTTTCTGCTGATGAGTCATCATTTTAGAAGGATATGGTTATCACCAATGGTGATGCTTATGGTATTGTGGTATTTGCCATCAACCTCTTCGTTTTTGTAGCTCCTATACTGCTGGCTTTTTAATATGTATAAATAATCACTGACTTTTAAAGGGAAACATGACCCTTCCAGGAAAATAGCACTAACGATTAGACTCTTGATAGCTCTAAAAACTTAACCTGAATTGGAGTTGGGAACCCGAAATMACAAATATTGTATATTACTGGTGTAATGTTTGTATAATCATCACACACTTTTCGTCTGGTTTGTAAAACAGTTTTGGTACAATTTAACAAAATGCCCACCTCTTCAGTAATATGCAGTCTGTTGTGGATCATCTGCATACATTTGGAGCCAAACATCCTTACAACTTTCATATAGTTCATTGAAATATGAACAAAAGGGCAGGGGTCCTAAAATACAACCTTGTGGTACGCCCAATTTTATAGTTTTCAAAGTTATGTGAACTTTTCAATAAAATAAAAAAACATCACTTAAATTTATTTATTTTTGTGCATCAGTACACCCTCAAAGGATAAATAACTTACCGGTACTTCAAACTTGACATTTTACAAAGAATTTCAAYGAAAACCCTGGGAACATATTAAGCAGTGTTTAAGATCTATGAATCTCTGTAAGGTTTTGTCAGAGCACTTTCTAGCTTTTCTACTGTAAAGTCATTCACTGCCCATGGGAACCTTTTAAAGCAAACGTTAAAGGAAGAGCCGCCGAAGAGCAAAGTCAAAAATCAATAGCTGAGGCTCTTCAGTTTCACACAGACACCACAAGCCGGTGAAGTTGCCTTCACTCTGCGAGCGGGAGTGTTTTGAAGTGTCAATAGTATCAACATGAGGCAGAGCCATTAGCCCGTCTCCTCCGCTGTCAGCGCCCCATCTCTCAGCCTCTTTGCTGCTGGCAAGATTCGGATTTAGATCCTCCCTTTTGGGCCAAGCATTCAGCTGGCTGTGCTATTGTCTACTTCCTCTGGGTCCTTTACCACAATGTCACATCCATCTGACTGGCAAGCTGTATGACTGACTCGCTCTCTGGCTGGTTCTCAGTGTGTGTGTGTGTGTGGCTGCTTGTGTGTATTTCAGTGTTTACGTGCGTTTCTATCTACCAAAAGGAAGTGAGACAAGCGCTCCGGAAGACAGAGGTGACTACGTATTTGTGCAAAGTTGCCTATTCGTAGTAGGGCAGTGCAGAAGCACTGTGAAGTGATTTCACATTGTTCTGAAAGTGGAATAAACAGGCCTAAGACAGAAATTACAACAATGTCTGACTCTAAGAAACCATATGTACAGAAAAGGCAGACAGAAATAAGTTTTTAAAGAACTAAAGGAAGGAGAATAACAGACTTTGTGTTGGCAGGAAGCTGGGGAGAGCCTCTCCTGCAGGGAAAAAGGGAAAAAAATTATTTTCTCGAGGTTTTTATCTCACAAGAAGCTGCTCATTTTGCGCCGTCTTGACTCTATGAAATAGCTGACTCTCAGTTACAACCACACCTAATTTTAGCTGAGTTTCTTTAAAAACCACCGTGGCAGCCATCTTGAATTGAATTCATTGATTACTTTCTGAAAGTCCAATTACGTTACATTCAATGATTTGTGAGATATTTTGGAAACAGATGGACACAGAAACARGTTCTTCACATCCGTTTCACAAATCTCAAGATTTGCACGTTCTACGAAACGATTAGTAAAATAATTAAAAGGGAAATGCTCATATACTTTAGTCAGTCTACTTTAAGAAAAGCTGTATGATCCACACGTTTTTACTATTCTATCTCAACGGAARTGTGTAACTACCTTACATGAAGTATTCTGTTTCATTAGCGTTTTCTTTCAGGGAAAAAAATGTATAGAAATGTACACAGTGTGGCGTACCTTCACATTTCTCCAGGATCTGCACCGTGTCTCCGATTTCCAACGGGAGGCCATGTTGGATGGTCCCTCGGAAACTGGCAAGCACTGCAACGAGAAAATTTGATTTTTAGTAATCTTTTCCTGTTGAATCAATAAATCAAATCAAATCAAAACATCCAAAATGCCCACGTGAGTCCACTGTAGTTTATTCAGTTTTTTTATTGTTGTGCTCAGCTATGGTGGGAGGGGTTAAGAAAAGGTCAAGAGCAGGAGAAGAGTGATACAAAACAAAACACAAAATGATAAAAACAAACCAATTTCAATGAATGTTTTGTTTATTAGAAGAGTAGACGTTTTATTGGACAACACTTTGTTGGATAACTGAACCTGCATCTATGGGTGCAAATAAACATTATAACCTGTGGTTATATGAATGTGAAACTAATCAGACAGCAGCAATGGGGTAAATAATTAAAGGGATGAATTTATGCTCATTCCTAATTTCCATTAGGTAAAATATTAGTCATGTATAACTTTTAGCCAGAAAGTCACTTCAACAAGACCAAACTGTTCCTTTAGATCGGTGGTTCCCAAACTTTTTATCTTCTGACCCACAAAATATCCATGGCAAAAACTTGTGACCCCGAATATTACTGGTCTGAGTACACAAACTTCGTTAATAACCCTAAAAACACAGGTTTTTTGACAAAATAAACAGCTTATACACAAATATAAATACTTTTTTATACTTATTTTGTGTTTTTGTTAATATTTATAGGGAAAATATTACATCAGCAATTGTTTTATTACCCTTTAAATTGATTTCTGGAGATTATCCAAGGTGCTTCATGACCCATAATTGGGTCCCAAGCCCAACTTTGGGAACCAAAGTGCAGTGGTTCCCAAACTTTTCAGCTTTTGAACCACAGAGACCTGTGCTCCCAGCTATTTCTGGATGATAAACATTTGTATCAGGTCAACTAAACATAACAATATTTTATACTACATTTATCCATTTTAAATACACTAACCTCACTCATTTGTAACGGCTAAGACAAAAATGTAATTAATTCAGAAAATCTTTTCAGGACCCCACCTTGATGTTTCGGGACCCCACTTTGGGTCCCGACCCCAACTTTGGGAAACACTGCTTTATATGGTTTATAAGGACAGTTTTAGTGCTCCAACTGCACAGCCCTTACAGACATAACACGGCTATTCATGCTAAATCACACGGGAGGTGATAAATCACTTTACTAGAAGATAATAAAAGGAGAAACCCAAGCCGGTAACTGCAGTAATTAAATTCTAACTAAGCAACTAAAGCCTAATAATAAAAACATTTCCAAAAACTATACACAACCTCTTTCTAAGACCTTGTGTATATGCTTACAGCTAAAGGTCCAACCACAATACGCTGTATGGTTGAGTTATCTGATTCTGGCAACAAGACGTTAAAAAGGAGATACAACCTAAATAATAACCAGAAACTAAAGCGGATATTGAACAAATGGTTTCCTCTTTTTCACTGATGTTTTAACCAATTCAAGAAGCAGGGGAAAGAAGAGATGCTGAGAAGCGTAACAGCCATGAGGAAAGATTGTCATCTGACAGCTCTTCAGCCGTCTCCTCCAAACGGAACCGTGTCCTGTTCACCGAGCCAGCATATATATTAAAAGATAGCTATGTTCATGCAAATCCATCAACGCATAAACTGTATAAATGTCTACAAAACGTTCCTACTGGAAGAAAGAAGGCAGCGAATTCACACAAGCAGCCCATTCAAACGGCTAATGTATGCTAGTACACATGGCTACACACAGAAAGCCATTCACACATGGACACACACACGCAACACGAGCAGGGTCTGAGGTGGAAACGGATAACAAGAGTGGCTCGCTGGGCCGAGAGGATTCTGGTTTGTGATCATCCAACTTATCTGTACGCATCAGTGAAAAAGTGCAGAGAAAAACCTCTCAGTGCTCTGAGATTATCCTTAATCCAAGATACTTTGAGAGGAAAAGGTGTACCCAGAAAACTGTACAAAAACAAGGTGGTTATGGTATTTCTCTTTGTTTACACTACACTGTAATACATTGTCTGCCTCTGAAACGTCAAAGACTGACAATAATAAAACTTTCAGAAATTAATCACTGGATCAACATCCAACAACTTACGAAACACGAAAATTGCCATAATTTGGTCACATTTTAAGATGCTGGGCTAAAATATGGTGTGGAAGTAGTTGAGCATCGTCCCCAACACAAGCTCTAAGTGCTACTCATTGTGTGACGCTTGTTTAAAAATTCACCATTAACTGCAGGAGTCAACCCAGTTTGTTAGCAAAATCTCCCATTAACCACAAGCTGGATTTGAAATAAAAAAAATTTCAAGAAATAATAATAATAATAATAATAATAATGTTTCCATTAAATTGTAATGCGAATTAGGCGTGTTTCCATCTACATCTACTGGTTTGGAGCAAATCAACCAGGCAATGCAAAGTGTCATTTTGTCACATTGATGTTACGCATGACTGGAATAAACAGGAAGTAAAGGTTGCAAACATGCAGGGACCACAAACCTCAGAACAATGGAGAGAAATTTCCAGGAATGTGATGCTATCAGGCAAGTTGGAATTGTTCCGACATATCAGCTATCAGCTGTGTTACATGTTGTCCGACATGTTGCTCCAGTCATGTTTTCATGCGTCATGGGCACATCCAGAAAGACATCKAGTATGGAAACAGCTGATAAATCATGTGAGGTAAATGTYCGCTACTTCAKAACTTATTCGGCAAATGCGTTTCCATCTCTTCTTTTGCGCATTACCACATCAAGTGAGCATTAAAACTTTTTTCTTCAAATTTTGACATTTCCCTCAACCTTTTCTAATTTCTAATTCAAAATAAGAATAAAAAAACATTGATGGAAACACAGCTACTGGGTTGACATGGGCACCAGTGACCCACGTGACCCTGAAAAGGAAGAAGCGTGTACAGAAAATGGATGGATGGATGGATGGGTTGACATCAACAAATAATTAATTTGATTAAAGACAGCCACCATAGTTAATCAATATTAACCTGCACAAAAATGGAAAGACCTTGATGGAGAGGAACGTTGGTTTGAGAGAGGAGAAAAGGAAGCATCTTTGTGAAGAAAAACCGTCCACCATTAAACAGAGGTGGAGGTCTTTGTGTCCAGTTGTCCTCCTCCTACAACGTTGTTATTGAAAGTATGACTCCGCCCCCTGTGAGCAAAAGGTGTGAATCAGGGCCCCAACGATACCAACACAAAGAGGGAAAGAGAGACAAAAACAAGGGGACTTTGAGCCCTGCCTGCATTCACTACATACACATAACATGACACCAAAGAACCACAGCCAAAGCATCCAAACCAATAAGTCAGGTGATGGGGAGCATGACCCTCTATGAACAACAGAGCTAATCAAGCCTATTGTTAGGCTATGGCCCTCTTTTGCATGTGACTAATCTGTTTGTCCATGTGGAGGCAGTGCTTATAAGGCTGAGTTCACCTGAAACTCATCAAAATGAAGAAGTCTCTTGGAGGAGAGACGAAACGTTTCACTAAAGAACACATCCAGAGGACCTACTTGTTTTTTTCTTTTTGAATATAAATTTTAGCAATATTAAGCTGAAATTTGAGATGGTAGTAGCTGAGAGTCATTCCCTTTTATTGGAGATCTAACAGTATTGAGTGAGATCATGCTTGACATTATTTTTAAGGCTTGACCAAAAGAAACAACAAGAAATTGGTTTGTTGGCTTGAGTTTTTTGGTCACATTAGTCATTTTTTGTTGATTATTGTGAAAAGGTACCAACAAATTTATGTCTGCAAAGTACAGTATTATAAATAAAATAGTTTTTCTCCTGCCCTCTACCTATATTTGTCTATCTACTTTTATCTTTTATTCTCTAATGTTTTCATTTAGATAACATTTCCAGTAGTAACGGCCACTCTGTTCTGTTCCTCCTTGTAGTCCTACGATCAGTAAGAAGACCTTCTTTAAAAAGGGATTTGTAAGACGTGAACATCTGACTCAGTGATTCATTCAAAGAGCAGAGAGTGCAGAGAGGCACGATGCTTGCCTACTTTTTTGTAATTTATTCGAAGCTCAGTCAGTCACACATTTACACAGAGACCAAACACATTCACGCTCCTCAAGTGTGCCCAATGCATGAATTACCCAAGCTACTCTGAGATCAATTATTCAGTCTCAAGTCTGTTTTTTTTTCCTGCTGAGAAATGAAATCGTAGAGCCAGCTGCTGTCTGTCCGTTTATCCCCAACTGCCTGTCATCAGTTTGACTGCCTGTCAACTAACGGGGCTGACGGACCACAAAATTATGGACTGACGAGATTAGAAAGGGACTCACTCTCTAGGAGAATGATTTGTTGTTCTTTTGTTCCATTTGCTCAAGCTAGAGAAGGAGAACAGGGAGTACCAACGGGGAGAAGGAACCCATTCATGATGCATGAGTACAGCAGTGTATAAAAAACTAGACACGCCAATAATGAGGACACACATTTATTTAACTCTGATCCACGATGATCCCTTCCAATGCAGTGCAAATCTGGTCCGATGAGCAATGACAACAGACCAGATAACTGTCTAAACATAACACAAAAACAGCAGCAAGTGAATGAACGTGACCACAAAAATGTGTTCCTTGTCAAGGTTTCTCAAGAGGAAAAAAAAGGAAAGTTCACATGGAAGAAATGAGGGAATGGTGCCAGATACAGAAACGGGGATAAAAATCTCTGATGCAGCGGGTCATCACATCACTTGCAGGGCAGCACTTATCTCTGTTTAAACACCTGAGATGGTCACTCTGGAAACTATTTTAAGCTTGATCAGGACTAAAGCTGAAATTCTTAAACTTCTTTGTAAATACTCACTGATAGCTAGGAGTCATAAACCTTCACACCATGTTACTTTACCATCAATAGTTGTTATTTTTCGGTAACAATTTCATACAAAAGCAGATGTTTGCAAAAAAAAATCTATTAATTAGAGGTAAACAAAAAAACAATTTTATACTGTCCTGATGCATCTCAGTCATCCAGGTAGAAAAAAATCAA